ACCATCCATGCAAGATTGGTCAACATAGGGCTTATAGTTCCTTGGAATTGAGACCTACACCAAAAACTGCACCAAAAATGTTAACCTGCTCCAAAAACATTAACCTGTCATTCCTTTGCTGAAATTGCGGCATCTGAAACTTTGACTGGTACAATGAAACACACTAGAAGCATCTTCCATGCATGTTTAATCAATATAAGACATAGAAGTATTAAAAAGAAAACTGCTCCAAAAAACGTAACCTCAACCTGGGACGCCGACGCCGCACCACCCCGACGCCGAGGGTATTACATAACCCCCCAACTTCGTTGAGGTGAGCTAAAAATGTGAATTGAAGTTAAAAATGCTTAATTTTTTTTTCAGTGGCTAATTTTTAGCTGTTTGTGGTATTGCATGCAGTTGCAGTCTGGATGATGAGTTAAAAAAAAAATTAAGACCAGGTGCCAGTCGGAAGTGAACACTTTTTTACCAGTAGCAGAGAAAGTGAGCATGCAGAAAACAAGATATAGTACATCATTTAAAGGGCCATAACTCTGTTTTGGAATCATCAATTTCCATGAAACATCATCAGCCACTTTGTATATACCAAAGACACCATCATGTCAAATTTCAGGAAAATCAGACAAGGTTTGTGTCCATATCAGTTCAAAGGTCAAAACTCATGTTAATCAATTTATTGGCACTTTTTAAATTTGGAACTAATTATGAAAATTGTTGACAAATTTAATGGATAAAACTATTTTTTTGAGAAGTTAAATGGATTGAAACAATTGAAAAGGGGGGGGCATGTTCATGTTGTCAAAGAGAATAACATAATGTGTTCAATTGATGTGTGTCAAAAATTAATGCCATATGGATTTTGATTCTATATATAATGTTTTAGGTGTCATAGAACCCATTCCTCACCTAACCTGTTATTTTAAATGTCAAATGGAGTTCAAAAAGAAGGTATACTTTTTAAGATTTGATTGTTCAGATTACACTGTTGTAAGTAGGAAAGACATTTAGACCCCATGAAAGAGTTTGAGCCAATATGTTTAGACGAGTTTACCCCAGTTGACTCTCGTAACAGAAGGTATTATATTGACCATATTGACCATGCCATTGCCCACAAGTGCATACTTTATCGAGTTGCAGCTGGTAATAGCCTTGGAACACACAACTTTTTGTGGAAAATCCCAGTAAATCAGACTGAAGAGGACAGGATATCAAAAAATCAAGAGGTGATTCAGCGAATTCAGAAAGACTTGCCCACTTACCACACCAGAGCAATGCGACGGGCTTTTATAGACAGAACTTCCCTGATATGCTCTTTGAAGCCAATGCATGCAAGAAATGTGTACAAGTCTCTGACAGGTGACAACAGTGCTCCCACAACCCTAAAAGAAAAAGAAGTAGATGAAAGAGTCCAACAAGCATTTGATCAGCAAGATCCAGACATTATTCAAGACTTGCGTGAGCACAACAAGGGACAGCCTTCAAAATATGGTATTTTCTTTGAGAAAGCCAAAGAGTACGTTGAGTCAGTTGTTGAAACTGCAGTAGATGATCGGCGACATGACATCTTCACACACCTAGCAACAGCAATATCAATTCCAGATTTGCGTAGACAAGTTGCATCGACTTGCCCACCTGATACACCTATTCCAAGTGAGCAGTGGTTGAGATTTCAGTTTGCTCCTAAGAATGCAACATCATACTCATCATTACAGTACACAGGTAAACTGAAAGTTAAATTTCAAGTCCAGAGTCGCCAGCTGAGAAAAGAACACATGGATATGCATTATGCGTCAGCTTCTTTCAGATATTTAAAAGAATTGGCCATCAAATTTAGAGAGTTTACAACATTTATATGTATGGATGACAAACATCACTGTAAAGTCGGCGAACCTAACCATCCAGTTGCGGCAGTGGACCGTGGTAAAAAGTCATCGTTGGCCAGGAGAAGATTTTTGCAGTGTCCGATCACGACTTTACCAAGTTTAGTATAATTAAAAGTGTGACGATGCTTCTTGATATACCAGAGTCCATATATGGGTCATTTTACAGAGGCCAAGTTTATGTAGGTATAAAAGACTTGGCCCTGGAGCCATCCTCGCCAATACGTCACATTACTAAAGCAAGTAATATTTTGACACTCGAGCAAGATCAATAACCTATATTATTGATTTACACAGACGGAGGCCCGGACCACAGACTTACCTACCTATCCATTCAGTTAAGTCTCAGATGTTTGTTTCTCCACGGCAAATACGATATACTTGTTGCTGTTCGTACTCCTCCCATGAACTCCTGGAAAAATCCTCCAGAGAGGATAATGTCAATTCTAAATTTAGCCCTACAAAGTGTTGGTTTGATGCGAAAAGAACAGTCAGAAGACTTTGAGAAAAAAGTTAAAAGCATCTCTAGTATTTCTCAACTACGAGACCTTGCAAGCCAAAATCATGAAGACAAGCAAGAGATGATGGTCTCCATAGAACCAGTCAAGGTATTTTTATTGAAATGCATGTAAAATCAAATGCAATGAAAATGCAATTGACATTGTTCCTTAACACATACATGTACGTACAATATGTCTGTAAAGGCAGAACTTACATGTATTTTGTTTTTATTTTTAAAGGTACTCCTCACCAAGTTGTTTGAGCGACTTTACCTTAAAGAGAAAGCTTTTAAGTCCTTCCCAGCTGCATCAGCAGATGACATCAAAGAGATGTGGAAGTATTTGGAGTTGTTTGGAGAACCAATGGAGGATAACTTAAAACAAGCTGAACTCAACAAATGCTTAAAAGAGAGGTATTTAATAAATCTAAAATGTTTATGTCTTTCAATTTTATCTTCAAATGCTTAAAATATGGTAAAGTTTTTTAAGTCTTCAATATTTTGTTTCTGTATACCTTTTAGATGGGATGCAGTGTTGGTAAGACTCCACTAAAATTAAACTCTATAAATTAATACATGTGTGTCTGTGTGGGTGCTTTTTTAATCTTAACTCTCAAATTGTACTCTCCGGTATTGGTGTAGAACTGGAGCATATAAAGGCTAGATGAATATCACTGTGGTTTCCTTACTAAAATATTATCCTCTCTTGTCTTTCAGGGTATAAAAATATAATAACACTTGCAGCTTCTGTCACCTTGTACACGCACTACAAATCTCCTTTGTTTACAAACATACTATTATAAATGTAAAATCACTGTACTAGTATATTATATTGGTTCAGAAAATAAATTTTTGTTCTGAAGTTTAGAATGATCATGTACAGTACATACATTTATTAAAACAGATTGCTCTAACTTTGTAGGCCAGAGTTGAAAGCCTTTTTAGACCATTGTACTACATCCAGGTCTTACTCCTTTTGCATTAAGAAATGTGCTGATCCAAGTTGTTCCATCTGTGCTAGGCCACGCTTGCCTCCTGAGGTTTTTGAGCAGTTACATCGATTTCCAGACCCTATACCTGGTATTTAAAGTTTCAGCTTATGATATATGTGTATTTTCAAATAATTTTTATAGAAAATAAAGATCAGTATAGAGAGATATTTGAAATATGAATAGAATAATACATGAGATACAAGTTTCAGATTTCTGACAATTAAAAAATGCTTTTTGTAATAGGTGAAGATGGGCACTACAAGTCATTTAATGAAGTTTATGGTAGTGAAACTACGGAGGAGCACAGGCCATCTCTTCAGCAAAGGGTTACAGCGAATCCAGGTCATGGGATACCATTTTCCCCAAGTGCGCAAACAGCAAAAACAGTAAAGTGTGTGTTTATTTGTACAGAATGTGAAAAACCTCGTGTAGTATATGCTGCTAACAAATTGTCAGAGCAGGAAATGGCCACTATAGAGCGCATTAAGCAGTTAATTCAATATACGTGTGGGTCATCCCTGCAAGAACTAAAGACTGCCGATAACAGAACACCACAAGTGAATGCTTTACTAGACAAATGTTTCACCAGGGCCAACTTAACATGTGAAATGTCATTAGAAGTTCCATATTTCAGTTCAGGATGTTTCAAGGACTTGTGTTTTCACTGTGGTGAAGAATATGAGCTGCAAAATGAAGCAGGGGCATATCCCATGTGTCTTGATTGTTCCTCTACAAAAACTCTTCCTTTGAAAAGGAAACATGTTAATCTTAAAGAAACTGTTAAAACAAAGAAAAGGAAATAAACTGTGCTTTTGTATTTGGTCAATGAATATGCTATTAAATACACAATAAAAAAGTTACACAACAAGCTATTTCTAAATTTGATGTCTTTAATATTTAAAATTTACCGGTATAAAAAAAAAAAAAAAAAAAAACCTGCCTGCCTCATCAAAATTTTTAGAATTTGGCCCGAGAAACAATTAATTAATTTTTTTGGCCTTAAATTTTTTTTAGTGGCTCATTTTTAGCTGATTGTGGTGTTGCATGCAGTTTCAGCCTGGATGATAGACTTTAGAAAAAATTAAGACCAGTTGCCAGTCAGAAGTGAACAATTTTATACCAGTAGCAGAGAAAGTGAGCATGCAGAAAACAAGATGTACCTGTCAACAATATAACAATCAAAAGCAGCCAAGTTAAAGGTATACAGTCAATTGACTCTTAAGTTTGTATTATTTTTGTTTGTTTTTTTTTTTAGGGCTTTTCGACTTTTGTCGAAAAGACCTATTGTTTTCGTCTTTTTTATTAAGGTCTTCCGTCTTCACGGAAGACCTTATAGTGATTCTATTGTTTCTTCTTATTAAGGTCTTCCGTCTTCACGGAAGACCTTATAGTGATTCTACTGTTTCTTATTATTATTATTTTTCTGACCATCTAATTCTGTGCACGCGATTTCTCGAAGACTACTAGATGGATTTTCATGAAATTTACGGAAACAATGTGTTGTTATCTGAAGTTATTTTATCTGAGAGATTTTTTGAAGATTCGCTTCCGGTGCCAAGTTACGGGACATTTCCTGATTTTAAAATGACATTTTGTCCACGGATTTTCTCAAGAACGGTAAAAGATATCAAAATTAAACTTTCAGGGATGATAGATCGTCGTAATTACTATCCAGGACGCAACTATTCGTTCGTCGTCAGTACTTCCTGTTGTTACAAGATGCGAATTTAAAAAGTCGATTTTTCTAACTTTTTTGTCTTTCAATATTTTTGAAGTATTTTAAGCTTGGGTAATAGAGACCTTTCCAATGATGCTTAATTTATAATCTGTTTGAATATTGATAAATCCAAAGTCTAGATATTAACATTCAAAAATCTGAAGCGGGTCCAAAATGGCGGCTGTCTCCGTAGACTCCGCCATTTCGCGAGTAGGGGTTTATGGAGGCAGCTGAGCGTTTGATTAAACGATTCTGACATAAGGATACATGAAATGTAAAAAACTACTTCGACTCTCACGTAGTAGTGAAATGGTTGGAGGAGTTACCTTCCTTTACTTGTTTATATTATAATAGATAATCAATGTAAATATTGTTATTAATTGGTCAATTGACAAAAGAATTATACAAGTATTATTGAAAAATGATGTTCTGTTAGAAAATAATAATAGTATTGCCAAAAGAAAGGCAGTCTGTTGTATTTTATCAATATGATATCTGATAACTTATGATCATTGATTACGTTGAGGTACAAGGGGCTAGTACAGCCAACTGACTTGTGTCTTCACTTTGGTACAGAAACCAATTGGTTTATCGATCAAATCAGATTGTGCAAAGTTGCCGTAGTGAGTGACTAGTTAAAATGTAGCTTTGGACGTTAGCTATAGGTTTGTCATTAGGACAGAGAAGATCTTACAAAGTTAAATCATACTGTATATTGTAGCCACTTGGCTAGAGTTATATAGGCAACTTGGTAAGCAGTAAGACACCAGGCAGGTGTTAAAGACTAAATCAAGAGGCACCAGGCAGGTAGATGTTGACTTATATAGTCAGTTGTATAGTGAGGCAATTATCATTTTGCACCAGGCAGGTGCCGGTATTACTGAAGGTATATAATTATACAAAGCACTTAGGTCATTTGATTTAAAGACACCAGGCAGGTGTCATATTATTATCTGTATTTATTGCATTCAATCATATCCCCAGTAAAACTCGGTAATCCGAGCACGGACCTACTGACCGCTCAGGTCCGACACGTTACAGCAGTACGTTGCAATTGAGTGTCAATCTTAAAACTTAATTTCCGTTTCACTGCTTTAGTGTAACTGGGCTAGATACGATATGTAATTTGTATTATATGTTACATATACTTTCTTAACGTCGAAATAAAATAAAGGCGCTAAGAATGTTTTATTTTTAAAATTTAATTGAAACTTTCATACCTATTTAATAGATCAGTCCAAAGAAAAGGCGCGAATATTTACTCGTGGCGTTTGGCGCGAAATTATGAATGCTTTTTATAATTCTTAGACAGGTGAACTGTTGCAAAAGTACCGGTATACACAAGTATATTTAGAGCAGTACTCCCAATAGCTTAATGGTTAGCGCGTTGGGGATATAAAAGTTTAAAAAAAGCGCATTCACGTTGGCGACATGAGTTCAATCCTCCTTGTGACCAAAATTTTGAATCTCTTTTCAGCTCGATTTTACGTGGGTTTCTTTTCCTAAAACGGACGGAAGACCTCTCGTTGCTCGCAACGAGATCGTATCTAGTTATTATTATTATTATTTTTCCGTACACAAAATTTTGTGCACGCGATTTCTCGAAGACTACTGGGTGGATTTTCATGAAATTTACAGAAATTGTGTATTGTTATCTGAAGTTATTTTTTCCGAGAGAATTTTTGAAAATTCGCTTCTGGTGCCAAGTTACGGGACATTTTCTGATTTTAAAATGACATTTTGTCTACGGTTAATCTCAAGAACGGTAGAAGATATAAAGGTGAAACTTTCAGGGATTATAGATCGTGATATTTGCTATCCAGGACGCGACCTTTCGTTCGTCGTCAGTACTTCCGGTCGTTAGGACAAGCAAATTAAAAAAAATGTATTTTCTAACTTTTTTGTTTTTCAATATTTTTCATTTATTTTTGGAATCTTAATAGAGACCCTTCCATTCATGCTTACTATATAATTTTTTTGAATATTTATAAATATAAACTCTAGATATTAGCATTTGAAAATCTGAAGCGAGTCCAATATGGCGGCTGTCTCTGTCCACTCCGACATTTCGCAATAGGGGTTTATGGAGGCAGCCGAGCGTTTGCTTGAACGAAAGTAACATAAGGATAAATGAAATATAAAGGTAAACTTTGATTGTCACGTCGTACTTACGTAACAAACTTAAATTTAATCCAAGGTCTTCTCAAACGTCTTCTATAATTGGTTTAGGTTAGTTGTCAAAGAAAGAAAGGACTAAAAGTGCAAATGAAATACGAAATCCAGTATTTTTGTTTTGCACGACGGAAAAACAGATCGTATATCATAGTTATAAGAAACAGTTTTTCAAGAAACAATATCGATGTATATCTGAAGTATAAAGCTTAACTATTGTTTTCCCATGCACACTTGTGTCAGATTATACAAACAGAAGAGAAAAATAAGAAAATCATATTTTAATAGATCGTTTAATGGAGTTTATATTTACATTCTTTTCTCAAAGATATTTAAAGCTATTGAACATAAATGGTATCTGGTTCCTTGACCGTCGTAGGGCGAGACATTTGAGGTTTTTCAGCGAACCATTTCTACCTTTACAGTAGGGTGTAACTAATCGGATAGTTCACTTTGGGGATAAACGGGAAATTTAAAATAGTTAAAAATGATAACTATTTCACGTCTTTAGTGTTACTTACCTATATACGATATAGAATATGTACAATGTGTTAAATATACTGTCTAAACCTCGAAATTTAGGCTATAAGAACGTTCTTTTTTTCTTAATTTCATCGAAGCTGTCACACCTATTTAATGGAACATTCCAAAGAAAACGCGCGAAGATTTACTCGTGGCGTTTGGCGCGAAATTATGGATAGTGGCGCGCCTTTCAGAGTTCTTAGACAGGTGTATTGTTGAAGAAGTATATACAAAAACATTCTGAGCAGTTGACCCAGAAGCGTAATTAAAGCGCGTTGGGAATAAAAGAGAAAAAAGCGCGTTGGATTTTCACGCTGGCGACCTGGATTCAATCCTCTTTGTGGCAATTTTTTTTTATCACTTTTCAGCTCGATTTTCGAGGGTTTTTTCCCTGAATCGGACGGAAGACCTCTCGTTGCTCGCAACAAAATCGTTTCTAGTTGTTATTATTATTCTGAACACTTTTCTGTCAAAGATTTACATGATATATTATAACCATCTAAAAGAAAATGCAAATGTCTCTTGCGTGTAATGTTTTGGTTTTCCGGACACGTCACTTCCTGTTTCTACCAAAGGAAAACTGAAATTACTAAAGAAGCCAAAAACATTTTTGGGAGTTGATTATATCAACGAGTCTATGTCAGTGGGCCAAGACAGGAAGTGCAACTGACAAACAGCCGCCAAGGAAAATGATCATTGCGAATAAGAAAATAGTTCCCTATTAAAGTTACTATAAAGAAATTATCATTCTTGACAATATAGTCCACAATCACTCTGTATTCAACTTTAGTCTGTCATTTTAATTTCCTCTTAAGCATCTGTCACCTAAATAATCATACCGATTCCGATATGTATTCATACATTGTGCATGTATTCTAATTTTAAGACAGGAAATTCCCTACTAACAAAGCGTCTGCAATATGATGAGAAAACATGATGGTATTCTGGTGGTTAAAAACAGAAACAGTTTTGATTCAGTATATTCAGACAATAAAATAATGGGCTTAATAATCAGATGAAGTACTATAAAATTTAAAGTCAAATTGGAATACAGAGAACAAAACTTCATGTCTAGGCTAGCTATTTTGTTTACAATACATGTGTATGTGTGCGACTGACTCAGGCTGATGGATAACTCAGAGGGCATTGTGTGCTTGCGAATCTCTAATATGTGTAAAGCTTAATTTAGATAAGATCTCCCCACTGCTGCAGAAGTGACCCACTGCATAGATTAATATTACTTCTCGCCTCTTAATTTTGTGTCCGGAATGATAGTAAATGAAAATATACACAGGATGATTTTGATATGCGTAATATATGAAGCTTGCTATGTGGAAAGTTGTACAGTTATACAGTATAGTGAAAGTCAATTTGCGTGATGACTGTTTGACTAAGCAAGATAAAGAGTGGAAATAGAT